AGATTGAGCCCTGGCCTGTGGTGGCGCTTGAATCCACTGGTCACCCACTCTACTGCTGGGACCCAGGAAGGAGAAGGTATTGGTGACCCTGTGCTTGGTTTCCAGCTACCCACGCTCCCTCCATGTCAGCCCCGGGGGAGCAGCCGGAGTGCATGGGAACAGAGCTACACAGGATGTGCACTTGGACCTGAGCCCAGCCCTGCCCCTCCCCACCCTGAGTTCCTGCTGAACGGACAGGGGCAGGAAAGGGAGGCTCCGGTCTGGCCTCAAGCCTATGTGGGCCTCCTGTCCCGCGCATAAGGGTTGGGAACTGGCTCTTTGGACTCATCCAGCCATCCAGCAAGCACTTACTAAGCACCTACTGTGTACAACACACATAGCCATGTGATGGCCACACAGGGCAGTGATAGGAGAGGCAGTTGGGGTCCAAAGGAGGCTTCTGACCTAGCTGGGGGTGGGAGTCCTCCAGGGACAGCTTCCCTGGGAGGGGAGATGTCCAAGCTCAGACTGGAGGAGGAGGAGGAGCTGCGAGAGAGGAGAGGGGTGGGCACACTGAGTGGGAGCACGGCCCATCAGAGACTGGGAAACCTGTGTTTGGGCCACTAGACCATCTGCAGAAGGGAAAATGAGGCAAGAGGCAGGCTGGCTGGGCCACACAGGATTTTGTCCTCAGGGCAGTTGGGGCCTCAGGTTTCTAGGTGCTTCCTTAGTAGATCCATGGTGGCCAGGGGACAGCAAGGCAGAGCACAACAGGCAGGTGGTTTCAGTGGCCTTTCGGGCAAGTGGGGATGGGACTCGCCCTGGTGGCAATGATGACGTGGCCAAAGGGTCCAGAGAGGGGTGACAAAAGGCCCAGGAGTTGAGAGTTTCAAGATGGAGGGATGATTGTACCAAAAGCCGCCTGTATGTCAGCTGAACAAGAGCCGAGGCTGGGGGGCTCTGTGTGAGTTACTAAGTTGGGAGGACCTCTCAGTGCCTCAGTGTCTCTGTTTGCAAAGCCCATAGATGGTGGTTCCCTGTGGCCTGGCAGGAATCATAAGCCCTCACAATGTACCAGGGCCAGGCTGAGGCCTCAGAGGGAGCAGGGAGTGTGGGCTGCAGAGGTTTTCGGGGAGCCTCTGTCAGAGAGCACCCCCATTCAACCACAGGTTTGAGATTGAAATTGAGCCCATCTTTGGGATCTTGGCCCTGTACGACGTGCGGGAGAAAAAGAAGGTAGGAGACCCTTTTCTTCCCCCTGCTCCTTCTCATCCTTGGGTGGCTGTGGGCTAACTGGAGGTGGCAGTCCAGCTACGTCTCTTTCCTCTAGATCTCAGAGAACTTCTACTTCGACCTGAACTCAGACTCCATGAAGGGACTGCTGCGGGCACATGGTACCCACCCTGCCATCTCCACCCTGGCCCGCTCTGCCATCTTCTCTGTGACCTACCCCTCTCCTGACATCTTCCTGGTCATAAAGGTACCCGTGGCACTGGGCAAGGGGGTGACGAGCAGGCGTACCACAGGCACAGGCCTCACTCTTCCTGGAACAAGACAGACGTCACCAGGAAGGGTGATGGGGCAGAGTGGACACAGGCAGCAGGGGGAGCCCCGAGGAGGCCCCTGAGCCAGCCCAAGTGGGGAGAAATCACTGAGGCCTTCCATGCAGAGGTGACAGCTGAGCTGAGACCATGGGGGAAGGGCACAGCCTGGGGCAAAGGGCCCCTGGGCATGTGTAGCAGCCCAGTAGCGCCAGGAGGCCAGCAAGATGCTGTTGGTCTTGAACAAATGTTTAAAATGTTTCTTTTCTAAATTGAGAGTTTTCCAGTTATCGGGAGGAGAGACCTAGTTGGCACACTGGGTTGGGATTTTCTATTTCCAGGAGTGAGCTCAAATTTCCTTTCCCAAAATGTTCAATTAGGTTACAGTCGTGAAGCAGATTAAGCAGCCACAGTCAGGTGCCGGTCAAGGTCACAGGGGTTCCCACTTGTCCTCACAGCATCTCGGGACATGGGATGACTGTGGCCTACATTTTGCAAATGGAGAGACTGAGGCACAGAGGGGGTCCAGGGTCCCATAGCCCCTGAACGGTCAGGATTATAACCCAGGCCCTCTGGCTCAGAGCATGGCCTTGGAGCAAGTTCTGTTGACACCCAAAACAAAAATGTAAATGTAGGGAAATCTTGCCAGTGAAAGATGGGCTTGAGTATGGGGCTTGGGGCAGCATGCAGGGGTGGGGAGGGCTTGATCCAGGGGGCAGCATGGGCCATGGGAGGTCTGGAGCAGGGGCCTAGGGGGTTCGGGAGGCTGGAGGCCTGGGGTCCGGCAATGCCTTACTCGGCACTTGCCCGCAGCTGGAAAAGGTGCTGCAGCAGGGCGACATCAGTGAGTGCTGTGAGCCCTACATGGTGCTGAAGGAGGCGGATGCGGCCAAAGTGAGTCAGCGCGACGGAGCTGGGCTGGGCCGGGGCCGGGTGGGCACTGCATGGGGCCGGGCACTGAGCTGTTGGGTGTTCTCCCACAGAACAAGGAGAAGCTGGAGAAGCTGCGGCTGGCAGCCGAGCAGTTCTGTACCCGCCTAGGCCGCTACCGCATGCCCTTTGCCTGGACAGCCGTGCACCTGGCCAACATCGTGAGCAGCGCCGGGCAGCTGGACCGGGACTCGGACTCTGAGGGCGGTGAGGAGGCGGGCAGGCTGATGGGGGAGCCCAAGTCCACTGACAACTGGCGACCCCACGTGTGTCAGAGAACTGTGCTGTGTAGGGTTTTCAGTGGCTGATCTTTTGGGAGTAGTTTGCCAGGCCTTTCTTCTGAGGTGCCTCTGGGTGCATGTGAACCACCAGCCTTTCAATTAGCAGCCAACCATGTTAACTGTTTGCATCCCTGGGACTCCCTAATGCCATAGCAACTGGGGGAGGGGAAGCGGCACCCTCTGCTGGCCACACTCGGTACAAGGCCTGAGTCTCCACAGCTTTGACCTTCCCTGTCTCTGTCTCTCTTCTGCCGTTCTCTGACACTGTCACCCCTAGAGCGCCGACCTGCCTGGACTGACCGCCGCCGTCGGGGACCCCAGGACCGAGTGAATAGTGGGGATGACGCCTGCAGCTTCTCTGCCTTCCGCCCAGCCACACTAACTGTCACCAACTTCTTTAAACAGGTATTGTGGCTGTGGGAGGTGGCTGGAGGACATCCAGAGACCACCATGGCTCCTTTCTGTCCCGGGGACCCCCAGCCCCTCACCCTGGCTCACAAGGGTGGGCCGTGTGCAGGAGGCCGAACGGCTGAGCGACGAGGACCTGTTCAAGTTTCTGGCAGACATGCGACGTCCGTCTTCCCTGCTACGGCGCCTGAGACCCGTGACTGGTGCGTGGGGCTCCATAAATAAGAGCATGGCTCTCACAGTCACTCAACAAGCACTCATTACAGTAGCAGGCAAGGGACCCAGTGGTGACTGTGACAGACAAGTCCTTGACCTCAGGGTGTTGGCCTTCCAGTGGGGCCACAAACAAGCAGAATAGTAGAGACGGTGTGGGACTGAGTGTGTCCCAAAAGCGGAGCTGGTGAAATGTGGAGTGAGAGAGGAGTAAGGAAGACAGCTAGGATTTGGAAGGTTGGAGCCACCACCAGGTCACTGTGGGAGACTAAGAACACTCATCCCACAACCACCAGGGTAGGGTCCAGCCATGAGGCCCACTCCAGGGTCCCAGGTTGGTGCCAACTGGCTGCGCCTCCCCAGCCCAGCTCAAGATCGACATCTCTCCGGCCCCCGAGAGTCCCCACTTCTGTCTTTCCCCGGAGCTGCTCCAAGTCAAGCCCTACCCAGACCCTCGGGGCCGGCCCACCAAGGAGATGCTGGAGTTCCCAGCCCGTGAAGTCTACGCCCCCCACACCAGCTACAGGTACAGCCCTGGGCCAGCTGGACCCTCGAATTAGGCACCCAGGCACAAGCTGGGTGGGGTCCCTCTCTCCAGACACGCGGACACCCAGGTCAACACCACTGCTCTGCTTTAATGGGCTTGTGTGGCCATCAAGGGGCACATGTCATTCTGCTACCCTCCCTGGTGGCGCTGTGTCTGCTGCCTGTGACCCCTCCTGTTTCCATCTCTCTGGCTGGAAGCAGGGCCTGGCGCCCTGGCCAACCCCAGCAGACAGGCAATGCCTCCCTGCACGGGGGCTGCGTGGAGCCGTGGAAACATCCTGGCTGCGTGTCTGGTTCTCAGTTCGGCCCAAGCAGTCTCAGGCTGGGAGCGCTGCTGTGTGGAGTCTGGGGAGGGAAAGGTGGTTCAGCCAAGCGAAGTGGCCCTGTCCTGCTGCCCTGTGCACCCAGCCCCTGCCAGGCAGCCCCACCAGGCAGCCCCCACAGACTTACCGCTCCTGGATCTGTCTCAGCCTTTGCTGGTGTGTCACCATCTCCTGCCTCTGTCGCTGCACGTGCCCCGCGAGGGTCCACACAACATGACTCTGCTCGTCAGCACGGGCCTGCAGGGACGGGACAGAAACCTCAGCTGGGGCCGCCTTACCTCTCTCGTCCCTACTCTGCTCAAGCCAAAAACCAAACCCATTACCATCAAGTCAATTCCAACTCACAGTGACCCTACAGGACAGAGTAGAACCGCCTCATAGGGTTTCCTAGGCCGTAAATCTTCACAGAAATGGACTGCCTCATCTTTCCCCTGTGGAGCAGCTGGTGGATCCAAACTGCTGACCTTTCAGTTAGCAGCCGAGTGCTTAGCCACTGCGCCACCAGGGGCTCCAGCTACCACCCCACTCGGTCTTCCCCCTTGCAGCTGTGTGACTCAGCAAGTCATGACCCTGTGGCCTCAGCTCCCCATCTGTTAAAGAAACTCACTGCCATTGAGTCAATTCCAACTCATAGCAACCCCCATTGGGTTTCCAAAGCTGTAAATCTTTACAGAAATAGATTGCCCCTTCTTCCTTCCACGGAGCAGCTGGTGGGTTTGAACCGCCAACCATTCGGATAGCAGTCAAGTGCCTTAGGCACTGCACCACCAGAGCTCCTTCCCTGTCTATAAAGTGAGGATAGAATAGCGCTCCCCTCATGGGGTTGTGAGGATCATAGGGGTTGTTAAAGGGCTTGATCCTTATGGGGCACTCAGTAAATGTTACCAGTTACTCTAATCGGTATATACAGACTGCCTGCCGTCCCAGGCTGACTGTTTTATCCACACTTGAGTCCCTGGCTCTGCTTTGAAACATCAGTTATTGCCTTTACTTGGAAACTGAGGCACCTAAAAGAAGGTGGGTTTTGCCCAGAGCCACATAGGGTAGAGGCCATGGAGCTAGGAGGCTGACCTAGAGCTCTCTAGGACTCTAGGTTCAAAGGCAAGTTCTGGCCAGGAATTGAGGTCTCAACCCCCCCAGGGCTGCGAACCCCTTACCTTTAAGGCCTCAAATTCATGGTGGGCCCGGCCCAGCCGGGCGCCCTGCAGCTGGGCCTGTAGCTGCCGTACTCTGTCCCGTAGCACCTGCTGTCTCTGGGCTACCTCTCCCAGCACCTGTGCCATGGCTTCAGCCTGCAGCTGCAGAGCGTTCTCCTCCGTCTGCTCAACAGATGGGAGCACGTGAGGTGGATGGCCAGCTTGTGTCTTTGCCCAGGACTTAACTGACTTTAGCAGTGAAAATCCCACATCCCAGGAACTCCCCTCAGCCCTGGGCAAACTGGGATGGTTGGTTACCATAGACTCCACTGCAGACTCCTACCCACCCACAGTGTCCCAGCTATAGTGCCCACCTGTATCTCCAAGAGGCTTGTGTGCAGTCCCTGGGCCTCGGCCCGTCCCTGGCTGACTTCCTGCTTCAGGAGTCCCAGTGCGTGGTCATAGAGGCTCAGGCTGTGCCTGGCCTCTGTCAGCTGTGTCTCTGTGGTCTTGTACACACCGTTGAGGGCCTGGCCCAGCTGCAGGGCTCCATGGAAGAGCAAGGTCAGTTCTTCATGCTGTGCTGGCTCGGGGCTGCCCACGGGGGCTGCTAGGATAGGCCAGGCAGCCGTTGCTAGCGTCCACAGCAGGCACAGAGCGAGCATGGGCATGGCTGAGGGTCTGGGGCAGTGCCACAGTGCCACTGCCGCTCCCTTTTATGCCCTGACCCTCCCCCTCCTCCCAGTAACCCTCAGTCAATCGTTAACTGGTCCGGCTGGGGACCCCATATTGTGCAAGCAGCTGGTGGTGGCGCGACCATTGCATCAGGCGAGCGCACAGCCGGACCATGTTAGGATCACGCTGCCAGGGGCTCCGGGCCAGCTGGCGGTAGGTCACAGGGCAAGGAGGGCCCAGTTTCAAACTCACACTGGGGGACCCTGTGGCTGAGCCTGTTTCCCCACCTGTTGATAAGCATGCGACAACAGTAATGGTAACTGTAAGGCAGTTATAAGCACCAACTGTTTGCCCAGGGTTGTTCTAACCTTCATCACTGTGTCTGCTCTCTTCACATTCGGGGACACCAGGGCCTCTGTAAACCTAACCAGCAGCCAGGGAGGGCATGCAGGTGGCTGAGACTCACTAGAGGCTACCCTGCCTGACCCCAGGCCAACGGTGTGCTCCGAATGAGTGCCATTCACTCAGTGGGTGACCCCATCTGTGAGATGGAGGAGCCTGCTATGGGTGTGAATAGGAAATGAATGATTTCTAGTCGAATGCTTAGAACACAGCAGGCGCCACATAAGTGTTGGTTGCGATGATTTTGTTGTTTAGCCCCATCCATGGTGGTCCAGAGCTGGGCTGGAAGGGTCCATGTCTCCATCAAGGGAAATTGAGGCGCAGAGGGAGGCTGCCCTGGGGGGTGGGAGGCAGGACTCTGATTCTAGCCCCTCTCTCTGACTCCCAGTCCTGGGAAGGCCAGATAGCCCTAGGGCTTGCTTCTCGGGGAGGGTGGTCAGGCCTCTGGGGCCTGATGAGGGGCAGGTCAGCTCGCGTGAGGCTCAGGGCTGACTGCTGGTCACCTGGACCACCTTCCTGGAACTTGGTCCTGGTGGCTGTTCCTTATCTGTCTGTCATCTGCCCCCCTGTGCCCATCAGAGCTCTTCTGGGTGCTCATCTGCCCTACCCTTTGCCAGTCATGTGTCCTGGCCCCCCATGCCCCCGCTGCCTGGCACACTCTCTCCGATCCTTTGTGTCCTGCCGCTTGCCGTACCCTGGTGGGGGCCACACATACCCTGTGACACCTCCCCACTACCTGCAGGAACCTGCTCTACGTCTACCCACACAGCCTTAACTTCAGCAGCCGCCAGGGCTCCGTGCGCAATCTCGCCGTGCGTGTGCAGTACATGGCGGGCGAGGACCCCAGCCAGGCCCTACCGGTCAGTGGCTGTGCCCGGGCGGTGGGGGCGGGGGTCCCCGGCGGGCCACTCATGACCTGCTCCTCCAGGTCATCTTCGGCAAGTCCAGCTGCAGTGAGTTCGTCCGTGAGGCCTTCACACCGGTGGTCTACCACAACAAGTGTGTGGGTGCCGGGCAGGGGGGCTGAGGGGCCTGGGCAGTAATGGGGCCAGGGTGGCAGAGTGTGGGGAGCCCTGATGGAACTAGAACCGGTGGGAATGGGGGAGACAGTGCTAGTAGGGGATCAGTGGCTGTGGCACTTGGCACTGGACAGTGCTGTGGGAGAGCTGAGAGCTATAGGCCTAGGAGCACAAATGAGGGGGGACCCTGAGAGCAGACAGTAGGGGCACTGGGGCCTGGCCACACTAAGGGGACAGTGTGTGGGAGGTTTGGGGGCTGGACACCGGGGATTCCAGTCCCCAGCAGAGCCTACGCACCCGGCCTGGACAGGTCCCCCGAGTTCTATGAGGAATTCAAGCTGCGCCTTCCCGCCTGCGTGACGGAAAACCACCACCTGCTCTTCACCTTCTACCACATCAGCTGCCAGCCTCGGCCTGGCACAGCCCTGGAGACGCCCGTGGGCTTCACTGTGAGCCCCCTGCCCCCGGCCCAGCCCGTTCTGAGCTGACCTCCGCCCAGTCCCTGCTCTGTCCCCAGCCCGCCTAGCCTGGCCTGGCCTGAGCTGAGCCTGCCTCTCCCCAGTGGATCCCGCTGCTGCAACACGGCCGCCTGAGGACGGGCCCCTTCTGCCTGCCTGTGTCTGTGGAGCGGCCCCCACCCAGCTACTCCGTGCTCACCCCTGACGTACGTACCTGAGCCCCTGCACTCAACCCACCGACCCCCCATCATGCTTTCAGATCTCCTGCCTCACGTCCCACCTTCCTTCTGCTAATGCCCCTGGGAGACTTACTGCTCCCCTGTTAGTGTTTCCGGGGCCCTGCCAAGCTCGTCACTCCCATTAATGCCCCTGTGTGTCCTACTGCCCCCAGTAGTGTCCCTTCCTGTTCCCCAGCTAGCCCTGCGTTATTCACCTCTCTCTGTCTGCATTGACATGCCCTTGCCTCTCCACCCCACCTTCCCTTCCCTCGAGGTCACTGTCTCATTCGTCCTTCCAGGGCCTGAGCCAACCTTCTCACCCCACTTCTTGCTGCACCCCTTCCTGCCCTCTTGTTACACGTCTGACTAACACTCCCTGTGTATCTCCTCTCTGTTCATTGTCCCCATGGGCATCCCAGGCTTCCAACCTGCCCAGTGGACCCCATTAGTGTTTGCTCCCCATGTGCCCCCTCTCTGGGCTGCTCCCTCAGGCTGGGCCAGTGTCGCAATGGCTGGGGCTGTCGGTGTGCCCAGTGTGTGGGGGTGGGGGCAGGCCGGCGCCCACTCAGTACCTCCCTCCCACAGGTGGCGCTGCCGGGCATGCGCTGGGTGGATGGCCACAAGGGCGTGTTCAGCGTGGAGCTCACGGCTGTATCCTCTGTGCACCCCCAGGTATGGGGGGCAGGGACCCAGGAATCCTGCCCTGCTCCCTTCCTTGTCTGTCCTGGGATTGGGCAACAGTTCCTGCTGGCCGGTGAAGCCTGGCCTCAGGTTGTGGACGTGACTGTGGTCAGCCTGGCCTGGGCGCTCAGGGAAGCTGCTGACTCAGGCGGGGGCAGCAGTGCCAGTGGCCACCTTAGCTGGGGCCTTAGGCCTTCCCATGGTCACCTAGTCCATTTGTCCCTCTCACTCATCCTCTCTCCTTCCTTCCTCTCATACTATCCCTTTGCTCACTGGTCCCCCTGTCATGCCCATTCGTTTGTGGGGCCTCTGCCCACAAACACTCCCCAAGCCCCGCCTACACCGGAGTCCTGGCCCTGCCCTGCTCACCCCAGCCCACCCCCAGGACCCTCATCTGGACAAGTTCTTCACGCTGGTGCACGTGCTGGAGGAGGGGGCTTTCCCGTTCCGCCTCAAGGACGTAGTGCTAAGTGAGGGCACCGTGGAGCAGGAGCTGCGTGCCAGCCTCGCGGCACTGCGCCTCGCCAGCCCCGAGCCCCTCGTCGCCTTCTCCCACCACGTGCTAGACAAGCTCGTGCGGCTGGTTGTGCGGCCCCCCATCATTGGCGGCCAGATCGGTGAGCCCAGTGTGGCCTCAGTTTCCCCATCTGGAAAACAGCCCCTTTGTCCTCTGGTCTTGGGTGACTTCCCATAGCCCTTTATCTCTCTGGCCTCAGTTTCCCCATCTGGAAAATGGCCCCCTCAGTCTCCTGGGCCCAGAGCGGGTCCCGTGTGATCCCTTGATGGCCACATGACCTCTCATTGCCCGTATTTCTTTCTCTGGGAGATGGATGGGGAGGTAGGAACCCTTTGACCTTAGAACTCAACCTCTGCTCTGCCCAACAGTGAACCTGGGCCGTGGTGCCTTCGAAGCGATGGCCCATGTAGTCAGCCTTGTCCACCGTAGCCTGGAGGCTGCCCAGGATGCCCGTGGTCACTGTCCACTGCTCACTGCCTATGTGTACTATGCCTTCCGGTTGCCTGGCACCGAGCCCAGCCCCCTGAGCGGTGAGTGTTCATGGGAGACTGGGGTGGGGGCAGGAAATATCTAGGAGAAGTGCACCCTATGCAGCAGGAACAGCGTGTGCAAAGGCCCCGAGGCTGCACAGGCCTTGGCTTATTTGGGCTGCTTGCAAGAGAGACAGTTTCACCTGCTTTTGTCCCACCCACAGGGGTGTAGTCTCTGTATGTTCGACTGACAGATAACTTAGCTAGTCAGCAAGCATCTTAGGTAGTTTGGAGCAGGGACTCAAACTGCACTGCCTAGATTTAAATCTCGCCTGTGCCTTCTATGACCCTGGGCAAGTGTGTCACCTCTGGGCATTTGTATCCTATTTGTAAAATGGGATAATAATACCAAACAGTTGGAGTCAAGTTGATTGCAACTCATGGTGACCTCCTGTGTGTCAGTAGAGCGGTGCTCCGTAGGGCTTTCAGTAGCTAATAGTTTAGAAGATCACCAGGTCTTTCTTCCATGTCTCTGGGTCAATGCAAACCTCCAACCTTTCAGTTAGTGGCCAAGCATTTAACCATTTGTGCCCCCTCATGAGGATGCCGGTAATAGTAAATGACACGATAACCCATGTAAAATGCTTGGCACACGGTGAGCACTCAGTAAAGCTGCACTGTTTTTATTTGCCAAATAATTCATAATGACCACTCAGCCCCAGGGGCACTAACTGTGTGTCCGCCGCTGTTCTCAGCATCTCAGTTTCTCCAGAATCCCTACGAGGTGGCAGCCATGGTCACACCCATTTAGGAGGTGAGGAAGCTGGAGGTCAGAGAAAGAAAGTGACTTTGCCAATAGTGGCCAAATGGGAAGGAGCTGGGACGCAGCAGCCTGGATTGGTGGTGGTTGACCATGGTCTTCCCTCTCCAGGGGCCCCTCTAGTGACCGTGCAGCCTGCCACGCTGGCCCGCTGCCCTGGCCGCCCTGCCAGCTTCTACCTGGCCCGCTCTAAGAGCATCAGCAGCAGCAATCCCGACCTGGCTGGTGCCCCTGGCTCTGTGGACGATGAGGTCTCTCGCATCCTGGCCAGCAAGGTAGGACAAGAAAGGAGCCCTGGAAGCTCAGCCTCTGTGGCCGTGGCTGCCACCTGGGCAGGTGGCTGATACTACTGTTGGCAGGAGAGTGGAGAAGGCCTCCCATCAGAGAGAACAGCATCCACCAAGGCTGGACACTGGGCAGAGGGATGGCTCTGGCTGTCATGGGGTAGAGGCCTGGGACTTTGCACTGGGCTCTCTGCCTGCAGCTGCCCCAGGGTGGATGGTGGGTGCTTGGCATGGTGTAAAAGAACACAGTGTGTGCTTGGTGCAGCAGGTGCATACACACGTGCATCTCATGCACACCTGTATGCGTGTATCCTGTGCACATATGTACGTGCACATTTTCCAGGGTGGCACATAGGTTTCTAGGAGGGCTCATGGGGGATCTGTGCTTGGTGTTTTATGCTGGGCCCCCCGCCTGTGGATTCTGCCACTTCTCCGTGTATCTCCAGGGCATCGACCGCTCACACTCCTGGGTGAATTCTGCTTATGCTCCAGGGGGCAGCAAGGCCGTGCTGCGGCGGGCACCCCCTTATTGCGGGGCTGATCCCAGACAGGTGCCCCTCTGTCCCTGCCCTGCACGTGTATAAGCATGAGCCCTTCCCACCTCCCCCCTGCTGTGCCAACTAACCTGGGGGGCTGCCTGCAGGAGGCGTGGGCCTTCTTGCTTCTGAAACTGTGGAGTCTATTATAGGCCTCACAGAGTCATCTGAACTAGCCTCTTGCTATCACGCATGAACTCAGGCAGCAATAGGAGGGTTGGGTGATATGCAAATAGCATGCAAATGAGGCACAAATCTCCTCCCCTCCAGCCTCACATACCAGCCCCCCACCTGCATGACCCGTTCCTATCCCTTAATCCACGGCCCTAAAAGCCGTACCTCTGCTCAGGGGCCTCTCAACTGCCCCTCTGGCTCAAGGCAACCTGACTGGCATCCAGAAGGTAGAACTGAGCCTCTGGAGTCCCCTACTTTAGACAGAGAGACCCTGTGGGCAGTTCTGCTACCCTGCCCCTTCCCAGGCACGTGCTGTGAGGAGGGGTCTCTTCAGTCAGATCTGGGTTCCAGTCCTAGCTTTCCTGCCCCAGACAAGTGGCCACCCTTCACTGAGCCTCTGCTGTCCATCAGGTTCTCACGGCCAGTTTTTTCAGAAGTAGATTCCCAGGCCCTCCTTCCTAGTCTCTCTGACTGGAAGCTCTACTGAAACCTCTACCCTGGGTGACCCTGCTGGTATTTGAAATACCGGTAGCAGAGCTTCTGGTATCACAGTAAGGTGCCATAGTACAACAGATGGACAGACAAATGGTGGATGACACCTTAACATAAAGAAAACCAACATCCTCACAACTGGACCAATAAGCAGCATCATGATAAAAGAGAAAAGATTAAAGTTGTCAAGGATTTCATTTTACTTGTACCTACAATCAATGCCCATGGAAGCAGCAGTCAAGAAATCAGATGATGTATTGCATTAGGCAAATTTGTTGCAAAAGACCTCATAAAGTGTTAAAGAGGAACAATGTTACTTTGAAGACTAACTTCGTGTGCCTAACCTCAGCCACAGTATTTTCAATAGCCTCATATGCATGTGAGAGCTAGAGAGCGAATAAGGAAGACCACAGAAGAACTGATGCATTTGAACTCTAGTGTTGGCAAAGAATATCGAACGTACCGTGGACTGCTATTAAGAACCAATAAATCTTGTCTTAGAAGAAGTACAGCCAGAATGCTCCTTAGAAACAAGGATGGTGAGACTTCATCTTACATACTTAGAACATGTGATCAGGAGAGACCAGTTCCTGGAGAAGGCTATCATGCTTGGAAAAGTAGAGGGTCAACGGAAAAGAGGACCCTCGATGACATGGACTGACACAATGGCTGCAACAGTGGGCCCAAGCACAGCAGTGATTGTGGGGTCGGTGCGGGACCAGGCGGTGTTTCGTTCTGTTGTGCGTGGGGTTGCTGTGAGTTGGAAGTGACTCGACAGCACCTAACACAACGATACCGCTGAGCCTCAGTTTCCTCATATAAGGTCAAAGGAGGGTCCCACTCTGAATTTTCAGAGGTAAAGATTCAAAGTGATCAGCCTGAGGGCCCTAGCCTAGGAGACAGTCAGGGTGCGGCACAGGCAGGGTCTGGGTGTGAGGCTCAGCCTGTCCCCTGAGTGGCTGGCAGGTCAGGGAAATAGATAGGGACCGGGCCGCATACAAGAGTCTAATTGCACTATATGCAAAGTGTGCTGAAGGCAACAGCAGGATGGGGATCAGCCTTGCAGTAGTCAGAGAGGCCTCTCTCAGAAGGTGACGTTTGAGCTAATACCCGGAGGTGACTAGAGCTGGCCGGGGGAGGAACGTGCTGCAGGCAGAGGTGGCATTCGTGCAGAGGTGGGGCCACGCTCGGTGAGCCCTCTCCAGGGAGACCCCCGCGGGGCGTGGTCTGCCTGCTCACTTGGTCCCGGTGACCTGCACCCTCCAGCAGGCCCTGGGGACAACTAACAGCATGGTCAGAGGGGACCTGTGGACCTTCCTCTCCAGGAATTGCTGAAAGTCTGTGTTCGTGGGCTCTGGCCCCAGCATTTTTAACAAGACTGCCCCCGACACCCTTAGTTCCCTGAGGGGGCCCTGGGGCTTTGCAGAGCAATTAAGAGGCGACAAGGTGGGGAGGATGTGGGCATCCCAGGCAGGAGGTGTCATGGAGGGTGAGGAGAGAAGGGAGAAGTTTGGGCCCCACACCATTTCACAGATGGGGACACTGAGGCTGGCGAGGCCTAAAGCAAGGCTGGAGCAGGGCCAGGCCTGGAACCTGGGACTCTCGGCCGCTCCTACTGCCTCATCTCTGTCTCACCTCCTCTGTGGGCCTTCCTTCCTGTCTTCCCCCTCTGTCTGCATTCGTCCTCTGCTGTAAACCCACTGACTCGCCCACACACTCCTGCCATCTGCACAGGCCACCTCCTTCGCCTGCCCCCTGCCCTTTTTGCCTGTCCTTTCCGGTCTCCTCCATGTCCTCCTCCTCCGTGCCCCTCCTCTCTTCTATCTTCTTATCTCCTGCATCACACTCCTTCCTTCTCTCCTCACACTCATCTTTACTAACACTTTCCTCTCACCACACCCTTTTCTTCCTTCCACACCTCCGTCCATAGCCCCACGACCCTATCCATGTCCCTACAACCTTGACCACACCCACAAATCTCCAGCCACACACGTCTTTCCTCCTCCGTCCGTACCCACAGGCCTCCGTTCCTCCACCCCCAGGCACCGGTCTTCTTTTGTCCACACACATACATCTCCTCTCCTCCATCCACACTACTGGTCTCCCCTCTTCTGTCTACGTAGACATCTCTCCCCTGTTCCTGCACCACCTTCACCCACACTAACCCCTCCTCGCCATCCCGTCCTCTTCATCCCATCCCATCATAGGCCATCAACTGCAACTCTAGCCGAGCTTCCTCTTACCTCGTGGGCTCCTCCTCAGCCCCGCCAGCCTCTCAGCCAAGACCCACTGTGCAGAAGGTAGTGGGGCAGGGGTTGGGTGGGTGATTCGGTTTTTGCCCGGCCCCCCGCCAAGGGGATCCGGACCTCCCCACCCACAGCCCGGCTGGGTCTGGAGAGCCAGAGAGGGAGGGGACAGCATTTCCCTGTGCTCCTTCCTTCCCGCATGCTGCCCCTGCTCTAACCCCAGGCCCTCCGCTGTACCCTCCCCATCATGTCCTCTGGAGGGGGTAGGGCTTCTCGGCTGGTGGGTGATCTCTCCTCCCACCCCCAGCTGCTTCATGAGGAGCTGGCTCTGCAGTGGGTGGTCAGTGGCAGTGCCGTCCGCGAGGCAGTTCTGCAGCACGCCTGGTTCTTCTTCCAGCTCATGGTGAGACACCCCTCCCCACCTGGCTGCCAGACAGTGAGAGAGAGGCCCCCAAGGGGAGGACAACTCGGCAAGAGAGGCCCCTGAGATTGTACCTGCAACCCCCTCCATGCATTCCCCACGAGATTGTCTGGCGAGAGAGACCTTGGCCCACAGAGGAGACCCCTGCTCCAAGAGATAGCCCTTGTGATCAGTTGCAAGAACCTACCCCCAAAACTCTTCAAGAGGTGGCCTTGAAAGACCCTTCCCCACAGGAAAACATACTGCAGGCCCTGCCCCAGAGCCTGCTGGCCATACCCCCACCATATTTTCACTGGCCTGTAGCTCCACCCTCTGTCCTGCCTACAGACTTCACCCACAGGCCTGCTCTAGCCCCACCCCTCACTGCTGTCTAGGACCCTTTCAGGCCCCTCCCAGGACTGTCTCAAGCCCCACCCACAGATCACAAGACCTGCCCTCAGGCCCCGCCCACAACTCCAGGCCCCACCCATAGCCCTTAGCCACTGTGCTCAAGCTCCACCCCAGACCTCCCATACCCACCTTTAGCGTACCCACCTGGCTGCTAAAGCCACTCTCAGCCCCTCAAGCCCTCTACCCTGGCCCTCTCCACCCCTCCCCCAGGTGAAGAGCATGGCCCTGCACCTGCTTCTGGGCCAGCGGATGGACACGCCCCGCAAGCTGCGTTTTCCCAGTCGGTTCCTGGATGACATCATGGCTCTGGTGGGCTCTGTGGGCCTGGAGGTGATAACCCGCTGCCATAAGGTGAGGGGTCTGGAGCCTACGTAGGAGGCGGGGTCTAGGGGAGGATGGAGATCCTGCCAGGCCTGGGTTCCAGTCCTGCCCTGTGCCTCCTGGCTGCTGGGTGGATCTGTTCATTCAGCATCTGTTTCTTGAGCACCTACTGTGTACACCGCCGTGTTGGGTGCTTGCGACAAGCAGTCCATGTGGAGCTGACTTTGAGGGGGACACCTGCAGGAGATGAGGCAAGAGCCTCATCTGGGGGAAGAGCACCCTAGCCAGGGGGAGCAGCAAGTACAAGGGCCCTGAGGTAGGTGGGGCTGGGCCTGGGCTGGTCAGTGAGGAGGCGAGCCTGGCTGCAGTGGACTGAGCGGGGTGGGGCGAGGGAGGAGGGGAGGGCGCAGGGCAGATCCATTTGCCCTCAGCACAGTGCCAGTATACAGCAAGTGCTCAGTAAGTGGATGTTGATGATCTGAGACTCTGCCCTTGTCTAGGCCCTGCTTCACCAACTCCATACCCACAGGGCCTCTTGTTGTTGTTAGTGCTGTGAGTTGATTCTGGCTTGTGATGACCCATGTGTGCAGAGTACAACTGCTCCATAGGGTTTTCAAGATTATAACCTTTTAGAAGCAGAACACCAGGCCTCTCTTCCCAGGTCCCTCCAGGTGGGTTTGAACCACCTACCTCTCAGATAGTGGCTCAGTCATTAACCGTTTGTGCTACCCAGGGAGACCTCCCCAGGACCTAGGTAGGCAATAATGATGCTAGAACTACTGCTAATAGTAATAATAGTGAGCATTTATTGAGTACTTCCTGTATGTCTAAGCACATTAGATGGATTACATCACTAAATTTTCCTAACGAGGCCATGAAGTTCATTTTGTTGTAGTCGCCACTTTACTGATCAATGGAGGGTCAAAAAAGAGAAACCAAGGTAGAGCAAGACTGAGTAGGTTAATCTGATGCCACATGACTGGGAAGAGCCAGAACCCCATCCTTCAGCTCCAGAGCCCCCACCTTTACCACCGGCTTCAGTCAGGAGAGTGGGAGCCGTGTTGGACCAGAGGGCACATGCCCTATGGGTGAGCAGAAATACCCTGTGAGAGTACAGGTCTTCAGTGGCCAGAGTGTCTGATTTGTAATGAGAAATGGGGCTTCTGGATTTTGATGGGAACTTTCCAGATTTTTGAAATGCCGTGTGGGCAGCCAGCCTTTGCGCAATCCCACACGACCTCTGCTTTAGTCTCAAAGGCCTCGACCTTGTTTCTCTGGAAACTTCCCCCAAGGGCTCATGTTCCCAGGGGCTGACCCAGACTGTGAGGAAGCCACCCCCTAGAAAGGGCTGCAGGGAAGCACGTGGCCCGAATAATCATCGTCCTTGTAGCCGCTGGTGGGCCATCAGTGAGGGGCCCTGGCTGTTTCATTCATTCACTTGACATTTGTTAATCGCTGACTGTATCAGGATCCATACACAGGCAGACCTGGTTCCCACCCCTGTGGACTCAGAGTTGATGTGGGGTTTGCATTGTATTTCTTTGGGTTGCAGGAAACTGAGGGCCACTTAGACTAACTCAGGGAGTGGCTTAGGTCACAGAGTGGCTTGTGAGAGTGTGAGGGCAGGACAGGTGCCAGCCTCCTCACTGTTCCTTGCACTGGCCAGGCATATTCTTCTTCAGGGCCTTTGCACTTGCTGTTCTTCTACTCAGAATGCCTTGTTCCCCTTGGTTCTTTCTCATCCTTTGGGCTTTTTTTTTTTTTTTTCAATTTAACATACTTTTTTTTTTTTTTAATTTTTGTTATGATTTGGTTGAAAGTTTACAGAGCAAATTCATTTTCCATACAGCAGTTCATACACATTTTGTTTCATGACATTGGGCTGCAATTCTCCACAATGTAACAGCTCTCTTCCTGCTTCCTCCCTATAGTTACCTCTTCCCTGTGTCCTTCTTTCCAATGCATTCCTGCCCCCCATGCTACCTCCCTATGCAAACACTGCTTTGGGCCTTTCTTGAAGTATCACCCTGTTCAATTGTCCTTGAAGTATGTAGAACTATCGGGAATTCTTTTATTTGTTGTCTGTCTCCCCCACAAGAGTGAGCTTGTCTGTTGTGTTCACAGGGTGTAGTGCATAGTTTGTTGTTGTTGTTGTTAGGTGCTGTCGAGTTGGACCCGGCTCATAGCGATCCCTCCTTGGGTTTCCGAGGCAGTATTGCTCTGGAAGTAGATTGCCCAACCTTCCTTCTGAGGAGTGGCTGGTGGGTTTGAACCACCAGCCTTCTGGTTAGCAGTCAAGTGCCTTAGGTACTACACTACCAGAGCTCCTGTTCAGAGACACAGGCCCCTTCATATCACATACATTCTTACACACCTACTGGCACAGAAACACAGGGCCA